CTTCCTTCCTTCCTTCCTTCCTTCCTTCCTTCCTTCCTTCCTTCCTTCTCTTTTGTTCCTTTTCTTTCCTCCCTTTCTTCATTCTGCTTCCTTTTCTTCCTCTCTGTTCTTCCATCCTTTCCTTCCTCCCGTTTTTCCTCCCTCCCTCCCACCCTTCCTTCCTTCCTTTCTTCCTTCCTTCCTTCTCTGTTGTTCCTTTTCTTTCCTCCCTTTCTTCATTCTGCTTCCTTTTCTTCCTCTCTGTTCTTCCATCCTTTCTTTCCTCCCATTTTCCTCCCTCCCTTTGATAGAGGCTGGCAAACTTGTCAAGAGTCAACCAGCCACTGTTTATTAGTTGGCGGGGGGGGGGGTCTCTCTGGGATAAACTCCGCAGTTTGGGAGGGGTGTTAGTTATATTTTAAATTTTTATTTTATTTATTGATTAGCAATTGGGCTATATCAAATGCAGAGTTCCAGAAACAAATTATTACTAAAAATTTGATAAAAGCAATTTAAAATGAAATTGGATATAAAGTACGATTTAGAATGAAATCGAAAATACAACATTTTAAGATACAGATAAAACATGATAAAGTTATATTTCAATGTCACCCCTACAATCTACCCCAATCAGTCCCATGTATGCCAATCTCAACCGAACCAATTTGCTCAAGTCCTGTGCCGTGTGAAATGTTATTTTCAGATTCTGGCCGCACATAAGGTAAATTGTTTTGATACGGGGATCCCAATGGGTCATTCATTTGATATATAGACCAAGAAACCTGTCTCTCACCCTCTGATACAGGCGACAATCAAATAGGATGTGAGCCAGGTTGGTGTATTAGCAGTTGGAAGGGAGACCACCAGGAAGAGCTACTGTTCTTTACTACTTTCTCTCCCTCCCACCTCTCTTTCTGTCTCTCTGTCTCTCTCTGTCTCTCTATCTCTTTTTCTCTGTCTCTCTATGTCTCTGTCTCTCTGTCTTTCTTTACTTTCTCTCTCTTTCTGTCTCTCTCCATCTGTCTGTCTGTCTCTCTCTCTCTGTCTCTCTCTTTACTCTCTGTCTCTCTATCTCTCTTTGTCTCTCTATCTCTTTTTCTCTGTCTCTCTGTGTCTCTGTGTCTCTGTCTTTCTTTCTCTCTCTTTCTCTCTCTATCTGTCTGTCTGTCTGTCTCTCTCTGTCTCTCTCTCTGTCTCTCTCTTTACTCTCTGACTCTCTCTGTCTCTCTATCTCTTTTTCTCTGTCTCTCTATGTCTGTCTCTCTGTCTTTCTCTCTCTCTTCTGTCTCTCTCCATCTGTCTGTCTGTCTGTCTCTGTCTCTCTCTGTCTCTCTCTTTACTCTCTGTCTCTCTATCTCTCTTTGTCTCTCTATCTCTTTTTCTCTGTCTCTCTGTCTCTCTGTCTTTCTTTACTTTCTCTCTCTCTTTCTGTCTCTCTCCATCTGTCTGTCTGTCTGTCTGTCTCTCTCTCTCTTTACTCTCTGTCTCTCTCTGTCTCTCTATCTCTTTTTCTCTGTCTCTCTATGTCTCTGTCTCTCTGTCTTTCTTTACTTTCTCTCTCTCTTTCTGTCTCTCTCCATCTGTCTGTCTGTCTCTCTCTCTCTCTTTACTCTCTGTCTCTCTCTGTCTCTCTGTCTTTCTTTACATTCTCTCTCTCTTTCTGTCTCTCTCCATCTTTCTGTCTCTCTGTCTCTGTCTTTGTCCCCCCTCTCTCTCTGGCAGCTCTCAACTGGGTAAGTAAATCAGGCACGGGAGACCCCCGCCTCATTACCTGGACAAGGGGCCATGTTGCAAGTCTCCGACTGGAATCGCAGTCCCTTGCAGTCCTGTTCCGCATTAGGGTTCAGGGCGACCCGCTGGCGCAGACGGAACCCCCCGCTGCAGGGGGCCTGGCAGGGGCTCCACACCCCCCACTCGCTCCACTGGCAGAAATCTGGAAGAGACCCATAAGGCAGAGCCGTAAGTGCCCGGGGGGGGCAATCCCATCCTCCCCACGGAGCCCGAATCCTGGCTTACCTTGGCAGGCATTGGTCTCATCAAGGCAAAGTAGTTGCTCCTCCAGCTCCGCGATGCAAAGGCCGCCTGGGCCCCTCCAAATTTGGCCGGTCTGTGGGTCCAGGCAGAACCGGTAGCGGTACTGAACGGAGACCTGGGCTGGCAGGGAAGGCCAGGAGGTCTGGGCCAACAGAGGAGGGAAGACCCGGGGCCCGAGGGCCACCAGCAGCAAGCAGTCAGAACAGGCTGTCCATGGTGACCAGCCACTCAACGGTAGCAGCCCTGAGTTGGGAAAGAGGAGGGAGGGGTGTTTGGGCTCTGGAGAAAGGGTCCCCCAGCTCCCCCCCCCTCTGCTTCCCATCCCGGAATAACTAAGGCTGAGGACCAGCAACTGGATGGCACACATCTGTGGCAGCCTTACCCAGTTCCTGCCAATGTGAGCAAGATTGCTCTGCAAGGTTTCGATCAACAGCCATGGAAGTTTTCTCCCTGGCCAGGAGCAGTCTATCTGAAGCATCAGGCACTTACCATGGCATCCCTGGCTGCTGCATTGGAGTTCTCCTGCCTGGCAGACGCTGCAGAGAGAAAAACGGAGCAGGTGAAGTGAACCCTTTGGGAAAGGGTCCCGAGGCTGGTGGCAGGGAGGGGAGGGAGGATTTGGGGATGGTGGGGGGGGGGTGTTTCTCTCCCTGGCAACAGCATAATGGAACCACAGAGTTGGAAGCCTCCATAGAGGTCGTCTAGTCCAACCCCCTGCTCAGGCAGGAAAGCCTATATACCATTTGAGACAAAAATCATTGGATAAACTCACCCCATGCAGAGCGCTAGGCGTTGTACAGCACCTGGAAGTGGCATGGCTAATTCCCATTTAAGCCTGCTTGAATTGTGGATTGGGCTAGAAGACCTCCAAGATCCCTTCCAATGTCAGAGTTCCAAATAGCACCCAAAATTAAATCAGAGTCCGAGGCTCAAAGTTGCTCAGAGTTCCAATTTATGAAGAGAGCTGTGTTGGCACATCTGGGAAAATCCGAATCTGAAAGCTTCCTGGTTTTCCCCACCTGGTTGAAAGTTCAAGATCTTGCTCCCCACACCCACAAGTCCATCACATGGTCCAATCTCCCACTGGCAAGCTGGCAGCATCCACCCATCCAATTCCAGTCAGGGCACAGAGGTGCGGAGACACAGGGTGACCTTGGCTTTCTAGAAAGAATGTTGTTATGGCTACGTAGCATCTCACTCCGTGCAATCCCCCCCTCCCATTTCCCCACAATACAAAAACAAAATATTAGAAAAACAGAAAGTGTGGCAGGTCAAGGATTTAAAAGAAAAGAGGGCTGCAGACCTGACATCCAATTCTGTGATTTTGTAAGGTTCTCCTTCTTGAGCAGTGGGGGTTGGGCTAGAAGACCTCCCAGGTCCCTTCCAACTCTGTTATTCTGCGGGACAGTAGCTTAAGAGACAGTGGCCGAATTGGGCCTAGCAGGACCCATTGAATTGTTTCCTCCTATCCCCCACCCAACTTAGTCAGCCACATGTTCCTATAACACTTCCTATAGTGAGTCACCCCCTGCCCCCCTGCGTCAGCTCAACTGGCTTTCCAAGATAGACTGCCTCTAGATATGGAACTTGGCTATTTTGTGTAGGGCAGGGTAGATCTGTCAAACTTTTTCCCCATGTCCTCTGATCAGTGGTGAAATTCAATTTTTTTTTTTTTACTACCAGTTCTGTGAGCATGGCTTGGTGGGCATGGCATGGGTACTGCAAAATCTCCATTCCCTCCCCACTCTGGGACCAGCCAGTTTGAGATGGAGGTGAACTCCATCAAGTTAACCCCGGACAGGAAGGGAAGGTTTGGGGGGTCCAGAAGGCAACCTTGGCATTTTTTTGGAGGGGGAGAGAATTGGCAGAGAGGGGTAGCAATAGCAATAGCAATAGCAGTAGACTTATATACCGCTTCATAGGGCTTTCAGCCCTCTCTAAGCGGTTTACAGAGAGTCAGCATATCGCCCCCAACAACAATCCGGGTCCTCATTTTACCCACCTCGGAAGGATGGAAGGCTGAGTCAACCCTGAGCCTGGGTGAGATTTGAACCGCTGAACTGCTGATCTAGCAGTAGCCTGCAGTGCTGCATTTAACCACTGCGCCACCTTGGGTCTCTGGGGAGATGAAGCCCCCCCACCCCACCCAGCCTCAGAGGTAGGAAAATTCTTGGGAAGTTTTCAAAGTTTAGAATAAATCAATCTTGGCACCCTTTAAGTGGTGCGGACTTCAACTCCCAGAATTCCCCAGCCATTTTAGCTAATCTGACGGGGGAATTCTGGGAGTTGAAGTCCACCGCTTCTTAAAGAGGCCAAGGTTAACAAGCACTTTTTGGGACCACCGGGCAGAACCACATCTTTGACCCAATGCCGCTCTGCTTCTATTATTTGATGGAATAACTGTAGAAAGGATAGAAGTCAGCAATTGTTCCCGGAGCCTTAGGGACTAGAAACTTGCTTTTGTTATTTTACAAGGAAAATCTCAGATTCCTGGCGGCTGCTTCCTGGGAAGCAGAGGGTAATGGGAGAAGGATAAGGTTAGCCACTATTGGCACCCGGGGATCCTCCCTTCTCTGTGATTTTGAGATTTGTTATCTTCATAATTCCCCCTTTGAGGACCGTTTCCCAAAGCAAAACCACTGCTTCCTCTGCGCCCCCCCACCCACAACAGAAAAGAGACTCACCATTTCTTGCAGCCAATCAGAACGGAGTCTCCGGCCGCCATGAACACGGGCCCTCCTGCCTGGTGGGGGTGGAGACACGCGCACTGCGCTGGGGGCACACACGAACCCCTCTGCTCCAACAGGCCCTTCAGGGGGACACATATAGAGAGGGGTTTTCCACAGACGGCTCCTTCCAGAAGCTCCGACAATCCCTTCCTTCCTTCCTTCCTTCCTTCCTTCCTTCCTTCCTTCCTTCCTTCCTTTCTTCCTTCCTCCCCTCTCTCTTCTTCCATCCTTTCCTTTCCTCTGCTTTCCTTCTTTCCTTCCCTCCTTTTCCTTCATTGTTTCCTTTCTTCCTCTCTGTCCTTCCTTCTGTTTTTCCTTCCTCTCTCTCCTTCCTTCCTTCCTTCCTTCATCTCTTCTTCCATCCTTTCCTTTCCTCTCTACATTCCTTCCCCCATTTCTTTCCTTCCTTCCTTCCTCTCTGTTCTTCCCTCCCCGTCTCTTCTTCCATCTTTTTATTTCTTTTCCTCTCCTTTCCTTCCTACCTACCTTCCTTCCCTCTATCCTTTCTTCTGTTTTCGTTCTTCTCCTTCCTTCTGTTTTTCCTTCCTCTCTCTCTCTCCTTCCTTCCTTTTTTCCTCTCTGTTCTTTCTTTCCTTCATTCATCTCTTCTTCCATCCTTTCCTTTCCTCCCTACCTTCCTTCCCCCTTTTCATTCCTTCTTTCCTTCTTTCCCTTCTGTTCTTCCCTCCCTCCCTGTCCCTTCTTCCAACTTTTTATTTCCTTTCCTCTCCTTTCCTTCCTTCCTATTTTCCTTCCTTCCCTCCTTTTCCTTCCTTGTTTCCTTCCTTCCTCTCTGTCTTTTCTTCTGTTTTCCTTCCTCTCTTTCCTTCCTTCTGTTTTTCCTTCCCCCCTGTCCTCCCTTCCTCTCTGTTCCTCCCTCCCTCCCTTCACAAATTGTTTGGGGCAACATGCTTAGAGAGGGCTGTAAAGCACAAGGGGTATATAAATCTAAATACTACTACTAAGTACCACTATTCCTCCCTCCCTCTTTTCCTTCCTTCCTTCCTTCCTTCCTTCCTTCCTTCCTTCCTTCCTTCCTTCCTTCCTTCCTCCTTCCCTCTCTCTTTTCTCCTCCCTCCCTCTCTTTCCTCCTTTCCTTCCCTTTGGCTGCTACTTTGCAATGGTCAGCTTGGTGCAAACCCCCCCAGAACGACCGCAGGTACTCCTTGGCTTACAAGGAGTACCTGTTCATTTAGTGGCCATTTGAAGTGACAATGGCACTGAAATGGCACTAACTGAGGACCATTTTTCACACTTACGACCATCATAGCATCCTCATTGGTCACGTGATCAAAATTCAGAGCCTTGGCAACTGACTCGTATTAAGAACCGTTGCAGGGGTCCTGGAGTCACGTGATCCTTTCCCCTTTGGTGACTGCTTAATAAGTGCCGTGATTCACTTAACGACTGGGCCAAGAAAGGTTTGAAAAAAGGGGCAAAACTTACTTAACAAAGGCCTCACTTAGCGATGGAAATTTCTGGCTCAACTGCGGTCGTACTCAGTGTGGGCCTGAGCAGAGAGGGGGATGGCCCCCACTTCCACCCTGCTACCCTATGTGGGCAGAAGCCCTCTGTTGGCCGTCTCCAACCAGCCCCCCCCCCTTCCTAGCTGGTTGTGGCCGGTAGTTCCACAGGTCAACCTCTCCATCGCTCACCTGCGGGCAGTAACAACCAGGTAAGCAGCGTGGAATGTCTTTGCACAACTCGGGGCTCTTCAAGGTGGAGCAGTGGCTGTCGCAGGGAGAGCCACACGCCCGGAATTCAAAGGGGGGGTCACAGCTGGACTCTGGAAAAAGGGCACAGGAAGAAGTCAGCTCAATAACCAGGAGTGGGGAGGGGGCGCCTGACGAGGAGACGGGTTCTAGTGGGTGAAGCTCCAGGCCAGAAACCAGGCATTCTAGTTGCGCCTTAGATCCAAAAGCCAGTTCGGTGACTTTGGACCAATCACTGGGAGACCGGGAGTTCTAGTTCCTCCTTAGGTACAAAAGCCAGTCGGGTGCCTTTGGGGCAATCACCAGGAGACTGGGAGTTCTAGCCTCACCTTAAGCAGGAAAACCACTGGGTAACTTTGGGCCAATCACCAGGAGACAGTGAATTCTAATCCTGCCTTAGGCACTAAAGCCGGCTGTGTGACTTTGGGGCAGCCCCCGGGTGATGGTGAGTTCTAGTTCCTCCTTAGGCGTGAAAAGCATCTGGGTGACTTTGAGCCGCTCTCTCCCTCTCAGTCCAACCCACCTCGCAGGGTTGTCGTTGGGAGGGGGGGAAAGAGCAGGAAAGAGCATTAGGTTTGCTACCTTGAATCTTTCATAAACCCTAATCAAGGCAGGATCAACATGAAATAAATATTTCATAAATAAGCGTGCATTTTACGATTACGAGAAGTTATGATAAGACAAGAAAATTGCAGTTTGGAAACAAAACTTCCCACCAATTGCGGACGGAGGAGGTTGGGATGGCACGGCCTCACCTGAACACTGGGAATAATTGCACATCCGGAATTGCCCATCCAGTCCCAGGCACGGTTCCCGGTCAGTTTCCCAGCCTTGCTGGTTCCGGTAGCGCTGCTGCACCAGGAAGCTGCACGAGCAGTGAGTCCAGGGGGTCCAGGGACTCCAGGGACAATCTGGAGGAGAAGCAGGATGGGGAGGATTGGCACCCTGTGGGGTATTAGAAGCTGCTGCATCAGAGGACGGAGCAGCTGGGTGCTCAGAGAGCGGCCTTGAGATCAGGAGGCACAAAGGAAGCATGCAGCTTTTAAAAAAGAGATCTGGACCGCCGTTTGTCTGAAATGGTTTGGGGCTTCCTGCTTGAGCAGGGGGTCAACCTTTTTCTGCTTGGCAGCCCACCGGAGGGTGGTGTTCAAGTGTCAGCTGCGCACATGCTCACACGCGAAGCTCCATTTGTGCAAGTGGTGAGCACGCCCGCACGCCGCTTGGACAAATGGAGCTTCACGCACGAGTAAGTGTTTCCGCCACTCGCATAACACCCTCACCACTTGTGCTGCTCGGTTCTGAATGGGCTGCAGCCTGGTCGTGGACCATGGTTTGGGGACCCTGGACTAGAGGATTTGCAAGGTCCCTTTCAACTCTGTCCTTCTGAAACGTGGGTTTTAATTTGAGGAAGCGAATCTGAAAGGATCCCTCTGAGCGTTCTCAGTGTGCACCCCTTTCTTCTTAAATTCTGGAAGATCTCGCAGGGCAGAGATTACTCCTGGTGGATTTCCCTCTCTGGCTTGTAGAGTGTAGAACATGGGCGTATCCAACTTTGGCAACGTTAAGACTTGTGGACTTTAATTCTCTGAATCCCTCAGCTAGTAATTCCCAGGATCTACAACAATTCCCATCACCCATGGCCAGGAGGAATGGTGATAGGACAGCCTGCTGGATCAAGGGATCCATGGAATCACAATTGGGCGGTGGTGTAGGGTGGAAGCTCCTGGGTAGATGGAGAGCTAGTGGGTCTTTGAGTGCAGATGGTGGGGTACCGTAGTGCGTGATTAGAGTTAGGACTCCATCATGCCAAAAAGGAGTCTTAGAGAACACTCCTTGTAGGTAATTGCACCCTGTCCCAAATCCCGAGGAATACGTCTTCCTTACCTCTGCAGGCCCGCAAGTAACAAGCCTCTGTCTCCTGGGGATGGCTATTCTCGGTGCAAAGACTTCCCTCAGCGCCCGCCGAAGCAGTCGAGCACACACAGCTCCTGGTACGTGAGGTCAGTCCAGTGCCACAGGACTGCGAGCACGGGCTCCACGCCGACCAGGGACACAGCTCATCTTCTGCGTGAAAATAGGGAGGAGTACCAAAAGAGTAGAACGGGACAACTCACCGCAGGAAAACTCGCCACAGCCAACATGCCACAGCTAATTTTCTTGGAGACAAATTGCTGTGGGACAACTTGCCACAGCCAAATGACCACGGTCAACACACCATGACTTAATTTACCTCGAGACAACTCGCTGTGGGACAATATTCACCACAGCCAACTCACTATGGCTAATTTACCTCGAGATAAGTCACTGCAGGGCAATTCACCACAGCTGACTCACTGTGGCCAACATGCCACGGCTAATTTATCTTGAGAAAACTTGCTGTGGGACAATTCACTATAGTGGCCAACACACCATGGCTAATTTACCCCGAGACGCCTTGCTGCAGAGAACTCACCACTGGACAATTCAACCAATATGAAAGTTAACTTAATTTCGACAGAACCATGGCCAACCACAATCAAACAAAAAAAGTCCATCCAGAAATACAAGTCACAATAATTTGAACCAAAATGTGGTCACCAATAGTAAAAGTAACTGAATGAAACGATGCGTACAGCGTTGAATTGTCTTGTGGCAAGTTGGTTGCGGCGAGTTGGCCCAGACTAACAAAGGAGATGCTGGCTGTTGCGCAATGTTGGTCATCAACTCGCCTCCGCATTGCAGGATTTACACCACCCTGAGATGTATCTTCCGACACAGAGACTGAAAGTGAGTTGTTTCAAAGTGGTGTACCTATGACTTGGCGCGATGCTATCATAAATAATCATGAGAATTTGCAACTGCCCGCCAGGTCACCTTGAAGGGCCCAATGGAGCATTTACCTGGGCAGGGTTGAGTGGAGCAGTTCTGGCTCTGGGTGTCGGGGCCCACACAGGGCAAGCCTTGGTTGCGTGGTGGTGGGTTGATGCAGGCGCGAGTTCGGATCTGGACACTTCCACCGCAGGTCATTGGACAGTCGGACCAGGGGGACCACGGGGTCCATCCACCATGCACTGCCAGGAAGGAAGGAAGGAAGGAAGGAAGGAAGGAAGGAAGGAAGGAAGGAAGNAAAGTTCCCCACACAAAGGATAAAAACTCAAAATGAGATTGAGCAACCATTTGTTCTAGAACACAGGCATCAATCTCACCGCATCACATTGCCATGCTGTGATGTTTCACGACATTTTTCCCATTCGCAGAGTGGACATGACCTTCATCTGATGGATCCGGCCCACAGACCACCAGTATGACACCCCTGTTCTAGAGAGTATTGGGTTTTCTGCTTGAGCTGAGGGTCAGACTAGAAAACCTCCAAGGTCCCTTCCAACTCTGTGAAGTAAGACTACAACATCAAAAACTGTCAACTGAAGGCTGAGCTGGGCGCAGCCGGCCTGCATGGGCACATCCTTGGGGTTCCCTGCCTTGCACCCCCATTCCGCCTGCAAGCCTAACCCCCAATCTCAGTTCTGTGGGGCCGCCCTGCTTCGACAGGCAGTCCTCGATGTACAACAGTTCATTTAGTGACCGTTCGAAATTACAATGGCACCGAAGAGAGTAACTTAGGACTCTTTTTCACACTTACACCATTATAGCTTCCCCACTGTCATGCGATACAAATTCAGATGCTTAGCAACTGACTCGTATTTACGATGGTTGCAGTGGGTCACGCAATCCCCTTTGGCGACCTTCCCACTGACAAAGTCAACGATCCATTTAACAACTGGGTTACTCACTTATGGACTGCACGGATTCACTTTACAACCGAGGCGAGAAAGAGCACCAGATTGGGGTGTGTGTGTCAAACTCGCTTAACTGATGTCTCAACAAACAACAGAAATTTGGGCGCTCGATTGCCATCGTAAGAAGAGGATTACCAGTTTTGACCAGGTCAACTGGCTATTCTCACGCCGTATTGTTGTTTGCACAGCACTGGGTGAAAACGTGCTATGTTTCTCTCCGAATTCCTCAACACAGCACAGCCTTCAGCCCCTCCTGACTTTCCGCCACCCCGCTGATACTCCTCACCATCGCAGGAGGTAACTCCATCATGGCACTGCCGGCTTTGGTGAGCTTCTCCGGGACACGCCGTACCACCGAACCGAGCCGGAGGATTGTTGCATTCCCTAGTCCTCGTTGACACGCCGTGGCAGACGTTGCAGGGAGACCAGGCGCTCCACGAGGACCAGCCACCATTGACTGCAAAAGTGCAAAACACAGGAGGGCCGTTTGATAAAGCCACAGTGGCTGGTATAGCCACCCTGCCCCAATATGTACAGGTAGTCCTCATTTAGAGACCGTTCACAGTTGCGACATGTGAAAAATGTGAGCAGTGACTGCATTCACCACCTCTGCAGGTCTCTGAAGCACAGGAAAGTCAGAATCAGATCGTAAGCCTCCTTAGCGACTGCTTGGCTTAGCGACTGCTTTGTTTAACGACCAAATTGTCAATCCCAGTTGTGGTTGCTCAGTGAGGACCACGAATCTTTGCATGTTTGCAGGATTTCTGGCCTCAGCAGATCTGGAATTTGGGGTTGTGTAAAACAAAGGTGCAGTTTGGCCCAGTGGTTAAGGTGCTAGGTTAGAAACCGGGAAGCTGTGAATTCTAGTCCTGCCTAAGGCATGAAAACAGGCGATAGATAGATAGATAGATAGATGATAGATAGATAGATAGATAGATAGATAGATAGATAGATAGATAGATAGATAGATAGATAGATAGAGATAGAACCTCCGTTTCAAGGCTCTCACCTGGGCAGAAACTTGTCACGAGACATGCTCTTCTCTGCAGCTGGACTCCACTGTCTCCGTGATACTCCTGGGCCCCCTCGCATTCACGGCCTCCATGCTGGGGCTTGGGGCAGCTGCAAGTTCGGTAGCGGGTCACCATCTCGCTGCCACATGTCCGAGAACAGGGGCTCCATGGCGCCCAGTCACACCAGCCACCCGGCACTGGAGGAGGACCAAAAGAGTTCTGTGTTCTTCTCCTCCTCCTCTTTCCTTCTCCTTTCCTCCTTCTCATCCTCCTCTTTCCTCTTCCTCCTCCCTCTTTTTCTTCTTCTTTTCCTCCATCTCCTCTTCCACCTCCTCCCTCCTCCTCTTTTCTCTTCCCCCCCTCCGCCTTTCCTCCTCCTCTTCTTCCTTCTCTTCCCCCTCCCCCTCTTTCCTCCTTCTCCTCCATCAGCTCTTCTTTCTCCTCTTCTTCCTACTTCCTCCTCCCTCTTCTTCTCCTCCACCTCTTCCTCTTTCCCCCTCCTCTTCCTCTTTCCCCCTTCCCTTCCTTCTCCTCTTCCTCTTCCCCCCTCTCCTTCCTTTCCTCCTCCTCCATGTCCTCCTCTTCCTTCCCCCTTCCGTGGTTGAGTTGTGAGCCGCCCTGAGTCCCCTTCGGGGAAAAGGGCGGCATATAAATAAAATCAACATCAACATCAACATCCTCTTCCTCCTTCCTCCTCCTCCCCCTATCAGCAAACCACACTCCCTTCTTGCTCTGATGATGTTACCTAGATAGGTCATGAAACTGTCTAAGCCCTGTGCCAGAGGTGGCTTGCTGCCGGTTCAGCTGAACCGGTAGGGGAATTCAGGCCTGGGGTGGCAGAACCGGCAACGACCCAGGCCTGCCCCACCCCTGAATCGGTTCCCTCGCTGTTGCTTGGCCGCCACCATTTTGGACTTTAGTGACTGCGCGCAGAGCCATTTACATTGAACAGAGCATGCACGCGCTTTGCACATGCGTGTTGTGAACCAGCAGTAACGCTGTCAGCAGCCCACCCCTGCCCTGCACCCCTCCAGCTTTGTTACTCTCAATGCAGGGACTCTGCCTCCCAGCTACATCCTGCCCCATCCAGCCCGGACCTTCGTGCCCCCCACACAGCCCAGTTTGGGGGACTCACCAGAACAGGCCTGGTTGGTGCAAACCAGCTTCCCGTCAGAGCAGGTACTGGGGGGGAAGGAAAGTGGGAGCAGATGAGACCCCCCTGTTGGAATCGGAAGGGATACTCCAGTAAAGACATTCCCTCCACCCAGCTGGGCCGTCTCCCCCTGTCTGGCTTACCAATTGTTGCAACCGTCGGCACGAGGCACGACTGCTCCCGGCGGGTGCCGTCGTCCAGTGCGCAGGTCTAGACAGGTGCAGCTCGCTTTTTCCACGCACGCCGAGCCGTTCCCATGCAAGACTTTCCCCCCGGTGCAGTAGCAGCCCGGTTCACATGCCCATGCGCAGTGCTGGGGGGCAGTGGGGAAGGGGCGTGGAGAGAGAGAAGCGGGAGGAAGTGGGAATGAGAATGGCTCGGAGACCGAATGCCCCACAGGCTACAGCCTGTTAGGCCTCAAGTAGGGTGTGGGAAGAACTTATCAATTTTATAGCTGGGTCAGAAATGAGTGGTGTGGTGGCCTAGAGGTGGGGCTCTCGCCTCCCAATCAGGAGGCTGTGAGTTCAATCCTAGGTAGAGGCAGATATTTCTCTCTCTGGACATGATGAGAATATATCTGCTGAACAAAACACCACATTGGCGACAATAAAGGCATCCGGCCAGTAAATACTCAGCTCCATTCAGTTGCCCTGACACCATCCCACAAGGGATTACGGGCTCATTGAACGACAAAGAAGAAATTGTAATGTTGATGCATTGAAGATGCCAGGGGTTTGAGGCTAGATTAGATGCCATCTGGGGGTCCCCGACTCCTTATCCCGTTCTGTGTTCATTGTACCACGCCTGAGAGCCCCATGGCTAAAGAAGAGGTGGTGGGTGTGTCTTTGGGTGGAGGTCCCAGAGCCAAAAGGGAGATGGGCTTACCACGAGGTCGTCACAAGAGCGAGGACAGGGCGGGCCGCAGCGGCTGTAAGCCGAGTCTTCCAGAACAGAACAGTTCAAGTCTGGCGAAGAAGGGGGGGGGGGGTTGTAAAGAAAGAAGAAAAAATGATGAGAAAGAACTCCCCCCCCCTCCCAGTATATTTTCACCCCTGTCCTCCTCCCCCACAGTCCAAAGGGGAGGAGCTTTCCTGCTGTATTGGAGGACACTCCCCAATTTTCACCCCCCCCAACCCGTGAACATCAGAAAGACCCTCCCCCTTGATCCTTTCAGGCAGTCCTCGACTTAAAACCATTCGTTTAGTGGCCAAACTTCCAACACCACTGAAAAAACCACTATTCATGACCATTTCCACACTTATGGCCTTGCCAGCATTTACACGGGATCAGGATTCAAACTCTTGGCAATGGTCTAGCGTTCCAAAAGGGGTCATGTGATCCCCTTTTTTTGCAATCTCCTGACCGGCCAAGTCAACGGGGAAGCACAATTCACTTAACGACCGTTGGGCTGACTTCAGCACGGCGGGGATTCACTGAATGACCAGGGGCAGGAAAGGTCATGAAAGGGGGACAAAGTCACTTAACAATTGGGGAAGCCCGATTCGCTTAATAACCATGTTACTGACTTCACAACAGGGGGGATTTACTTAAGGACCGTAGCGAGAAACATTGGTAAATGGGACAAAACTCACTTAACAACTGGGAAAGGCAGATTCACTTTGTGACCATGCTACAGACTTAAAAACTGGGGGGATTCACTTAATGACTGGGGCAAGAGAGGTATCTAACTTAAACTAGGAGATCAAGTTCCAGTCCTCATCGAGGAAGGGTGTTTTGGCTGATCAGCCTACCTCGCAGGGTTGTTGGGAAAATTAACAAAGTCAGCCAAAAAAAACCTGACTTTGAACCACTCGGAGTGGGTGAAGGAGCAGCGAGGCAGCCCAGCTCCAGGTAGTCCTCAGCTTAACGACGAGAATTTACACGGCTAAGCAAGACGCACATTGTCCCACATTACGCCTTCTTTTTGCTGCATCGCTTCCGTGAATCACTGCAGTTGTTCAATCAGCCACACGGTCGTTAAGTGAATCCGGTTTGGCAAAGTCCAGGGGGCAATCTCATGACCCCGGGGACACTGTCAGAGTCATAACGGAGAGCCCGTGGCCAAGCGTCCCACCGGTCAATGGCGTGAGCGTGGAGACACAGTGACG